GGAATGGAATCTGAGACACTGCCGGCCATGCCGTGAGAAGGCACCTGATTGTATTTTAGGAATGTCTAGCAATACTCTCTCTGCTGCTTCATGTCATATCCTTAAAAGTACCTTAGTGAACTCATGAGTGCACCAAGGGGTGAGTAAAACAAAGGCATAAGGAAAGTGTCCTTCAGGCAGCCAGACTTCCACCAGGCCTCATCAGTGACAGTGATATTCAGGCATGAAAGGTGCTTCACAAGAAAGAGGGGAGCTGGAGCTCACTTAAGTGTTATCTAATATGACAACCTTCCAGAGATATATTTCCTCAGGGCGGGAATATATATTTTTTTAGGGTCGCTGTCATTGGTAAGAGGATTCTAGAATTCTCAGCCTTCAGCTCTCTTTCAGCTGTTCTTTCTTCACAATTCAATAAAAAGGAAACCATCAAAAGTAACTTCTGAGCCTTTCTCTCCACAGGTAAAATGCTTTGTAGCATCACCACAGGAGTTATTGTGCTAAGATAGTATTTTAAAATCACCCCTCCACTCATGAAAGATGCATGGATCTCATATACTGGGGGTGCCAAAAAAAGGTATACAAGTGGACACTTTGGTCAGCATTGCTCAAGCAGTAGTTCACCGTAATCAGAAGTGTCTGGATGCTGATGGTAACCACTTTGGGCACCTCTTGTAATTGCAGAAGTTAAATGTCACTTGTATTAATCTTTTGTTATCGGTATATATTATTACAAATTGTAATAGTTTTCCTTTCTTAAAATATGTATACATTTTTTTGGCACCCTCTGTGTGTGTGTGTGTGTGTGTGTGTGTGTGTGTGTGTGTGTTGATATGTTTGTTTGTTTAACAACAAACAACCCCTAACTTCTTCAGTTCTCTTCATTTTCTTTTACCCAACCAAGCTATCTTCAGGCAGCAAACACACCAAATGCTAAGAGATTAGAAAATATTTAAATTTTTCCTGGGCCTATTTCCCTATTTCTATTTAGCTCACCTATTGATTGCCATGACTCATCTCAAGGCCCTGGTGTTTAAGCATTATTCTTGTCATACTTTATACTATTGACACTGCTTATGTGCTGGTGAGGACTGTGGGTTTACTGGTCACACCATGTGACTGAGCAAGTTTTCAGTAAGTGGTAAGGTTTCTTTATGAGAGAACATTCTGTCAAATGTACATGCACAGGCCAGATGGGCTTCAGAAGATCCTAATTTCCAAGACAGTCTATGATGAACAAACTTCAGGTCTCCGTGTTTGATCCCCGTGCCAGGAAACCCTGCCCATAAATGAATCAGTGAAGTTGGTCAAGTTTTCCATGGATTTGACTGAATTTCAGCATAGGGAACCCTGTGAAGAGGACAGACCAAGAGGCAGCATCTCAGAGGATGTACGAGGAACAAGGGCAGACCTGGAGTGAGGAAGGCACATCAGCTACAAATAGTGTGCACATGCAAGATGAACTTGTGAACACACGTCCAACTTGGCAGATATATAAAGATCATGTATTTATAACATGCTCCTGAAACATCTCACTGAAATGAGCAATTTAAATGACTTTGATTTAAAATCAGGCTTTTAAGAATTAAAAAAAAAAAATTTCCAATACCATCTACCAAAGAAACAAATGGAGACAGTGTTCTTCACAAACTGAAGTCATGTGTCTCTGAATGTTGCCTCAGAAAAGCAATCCTTTCTCTACTTCTTTGCTTTGCAACAATCGAAGCAGCTGTGAGCTGGAGCTCAACTTTATTAGTGATTTAAAACACACCCTTGGAAACGAAGCTGGCTTTTTTTTGTTCATCCAGGTGGGAAGCGTGTTCCAGCAAATGGGAACAACACTTAAGAAAATTCTCAAACAGATAATGCCGTAAGAGCTCAACTTCACAAAATCTCCTACCAGCCATCTATCCAACAAAAGGCCAGGGAAACCTGGTAAGAAAATTAAGCCTTCCATATACAGACAAAGATAAAATATTCAGCTGCCAAGATTCAACATCTTTAAAAATGCCTTTTCAATCTTTAACTTTTGTCAGCTTGGTTGTCTAGCAACCGAGTGCTGAAAAGAAACTCCACCCAAAACAAAGTGAAACAATACAGACACTTAACTTCATGAGTGTGTGTGTGTGTGTGTGTGTGTGTGTGTGTGTGTGTGTGTCAGATTCTCAGCATGCAAAGATAGAAACTTGCTTTCAGACAATTAAAACAGAAAAAGTCCCTAAGTGTAGATGGCAGGAAAGGAAGTCGGGAGTGAGTAAAAAGCAACTTGAAAATGCGTAATGCGGGATGAGGTATAGTTTCCACACACCAGGCTAAAGCAAGGTTTACACTCTTAAGTAATAAAAACAAACCATTAAGCTAGGCCCAGCACTGTCAGGAAGTATAAAACAGTTCTTGAAACTTTGCAGTTACTATACAAAAGCTTTTCATAAACTCTGTTTCCTGATCTTCATTAAACGTTCACATCAAGTTGCCATGGGGCAATTAGCTTGCCTCCTGAAATCAATAAAAAATCAACAATTTGGAAATAGTTGTACAGTAAAATAGTTCAATAATTATTCTCTCATAGCGTTGTGGCCAAGTGGTTCCAGTGTAAATGCAGTCCAGATGAAATCCTGCTCCTTACGAGGGAAGCTTGAAGCAAATCAGTGGTTTGCAGGGAGATCTCATCCGAGCGGATGGCAACAATAATGCACGCCGCTGGGCACTGCCTTGGAGGGGGTCCCAGGGCTCGGGGCAAACACAGGCTTGGAAGGGAGTACAAGTGGTGTCTGGTGTGCTACTTAAGCACTTCAGAGGGACTCAATGCAAAACATAGAGACCTAAACGAAATGATAAACCCAACGGATACAAAGATTAGACACCCTACCGTCACCATTTGGACTCCAGATAAAAAGAAATTGAAATGTTTCCTTCGGTGTGTGTATATATAATATATACCTATATTATAAATATATATATATATATATATGAATATATGTGTATGTATTGGGCTGTCGGAAAAGTCATGATGCATTTTTGCAATGAAAAACATAGAAAAACACACGTCATGACTTTTCCGACAACCCAATATATATGTATATATTATACATAGGTGTAGATGTATGATATGTGTGTATATTATATATAAAGGGTATATTTGAGATTAATCCATTCATTCCAGCATTTCTTCAACCAATATTCAAATCTGCGTTGCTTGTAAGACATCTTCCAAGTGCTCTCCTAAAAAGTGAAATGAGGCTGCTACACAGATGACCCACATTGGACATTGGGCTGAAAAGGAGGTGCCAACACAGTTATTTCTTTGTTGACCCCCTTTGCAGAGGGAAATCGATTCCTTTTGCTTTTTCTAGCCTAAGCCTATTCACTTCAGCACCTTATTTGAAGCCAGCCACGACATCACAAATTCCAATCTCCATTAAATCAAACCTCAAATACCAGCTTGGGCAGCTTTATATCACCCTCTAGGCTCAGTGGTGGTGTACAGTGAACTGTCTTAGAACTTGAAAAAAAAAAAAAGTCAAGCATCATTTTTAGTATAAACAAATGCTTCAAATGTATGACATCTATTTGCTGCCTTCAAAGGGAAAACTTTTAGCTCAGACGCTTGGCACTAAGATCACACGGGATCAACTCAGTGGACTGACTTAAGTGTTAAACTTTTTTCAAGTGCGTTAAGGGCTTGCACCTGCTCCCCCATCCACATAGATGTACTGACACGTATTTGACTAAACTGACTATGTACATGCCCAAGCAAGCAAGCGAAGCAGATTTTACAAGATAAGCAACCAAGTGTTTTCATGTCTGAGGGTGGCTAGAACACAAAATTGCCAGTCATCTTGTGGGGGAAAAGAATGCCTTTGAAAAAAAAAAAATATGCAGGGCATCATTTCAGGTATGGTGAAATGCATTCAAATGCCATCCTATATACAGGTTTTGTTGTTTGTTTTTCCCTGTAAGTGCTCCTTGTTAGAGGGACCTAGGCTTGGTCCCACATTCTGCTGCTGTAATGAAGAAGTTAATTATTAGTCTGGCTACTCAGTGTAGTCCTTGGGACAGCGGTAACAGCTTCACCTGGGAGCATGTTAGAAATCCAAAATCTTGGGCTCCACCTCAGACTCACTGAAACAGAATCTATATTGTAACCTGATCCCAATAGGTCTGTAGACCCATTAGCATTGCCTTCTCCCTGAGGCAGTCCTGGTGATTCGTATGCACATTAAAATCTAAGAAGTCTTACTGAGAGCATTGGCTCCCCCGAGTTAGGTTGAAGTTCACTTTGAAGTCTGCAGAGCCAGGAGATGGTCAGAAACTCTGCCCTGGAAGACTACCATAAGGCTGTAATTTATGTCAGCAGGGTGGTGGAGGGAAGAGGAAAAGCAATTTACCCGAGTAAACCAGGCCTGCGTTTTCTCCCCCATCTCACCCGACCCAACCCCTGCAAAAAATAAAACAGAAAAGTAATAGTGCCAGGGCATTCTTACTTCTTTATGATTACCCATCGATATCACACTTATTCTTCAGTTCCATTATTCTTTACAGTAAGACTATGGTTCCTTGTGCCTTATAGCAGATTGAGGGATTGTGGTATCTAACATTCAGTGACTCAACCTTAATACTAATATGACTGTAGAATAGAAATATGCTGTTTAAAAGTGCTTTGAATTGTACAAATGATTTTTTCACCTCCAGTAAAAAAAAACTGAGGGAAAAATATGGAACACTTAGATTACCTCGTGATTATGTAGCTTGCTATATAGATCGCCAAATTTACAGATCATCCCTCCATTCTTGGCCTCTTGAGATACAATTTCAAGTAGCAATTGGAGCAGAAATCACGAAAAGATGGAAGCACAGATAAATGTGTAAACCACTCATCCTCCTCCTCCCCAATTTTGAAGTCGAAAAATGAACTGAGCACTCTGGGCCCGCCATAGAGGTTAAAACCCTGCCAGAAGGGCGCATGACACAGCCCAGACAAGCACAAAAACAGGTGACACAATTTAATCAATTTCGAAAGGCGATCCCTCAAAATTTAGAAACTACTGCACTTTTTAAAGTGTGACCTCTAAAAGGATTCAAAGGTTCCGACAGAATAGTGACTGGAGATACAAGCGATTCAGTGTCATGGGGTTGTGACATGTTTTTTTCTCATAATGAAGAACGTGAGCCAAAATGTCTGTGAAAATGTAGAATGTAAGAATATTCTGTTTCTCCAGTGAGCTGCCAAGAGGGTCAGCTCTTACAAAACCTCTGCAATTAAACTGAAACTGAAAATGCCATCATCTATACATATGTAATATATATTACATAATTCTTCATATGTATATTTATACATATTACATATTGTATATGTGTATATGTTTACACATATATTTGTGTATAGATACTTACATATATATATATATATATATTAGAAAAAAACATGCACAAGAACACATTTGAGTTGATACCATTGAAAACCATTTTAACCAAGAAAATCATTACCAATGAAGCAGAGATATCAAAAGAACTGATGGAACTGCCAAATGGATGGAAATTCTTGTGCTATCCTTACTCTCTATAGAGTATTTGCAGGTGAGAAAACATGGGTCATTATTTTTTTTAAGATGGTAAGATTGTGTCGTCTGTTCCTCATATTCATAGCAAGAGCAGGTGAATAATGGCTAGAGGACAGAGCTGATGTGCCCTACCGAGTGGGGTCTGATCCTAATGGCCCTCACCAATGCAAGGGCCATAGGGATAGGGATAAAAACAAACTCTAAGATTGCAAAAATAGAAGGACTAAAAGGTAACTAGTTATTCATTGGAAAAGAGGATCTACATAATCCCAAGGCAAGTTTCAACCTATCACCCCCAAAATGTTAATTACATTTATGGTCATCCTAAGTTTATTTTTGGAAGAATCTGAGTCTAACAGTCTGTTCCATTACAAACACTATTTTTTTTTTCAGCCAATTTGAAGGCAGGGCTAGGAAAGGAGATTAGAACTAGGCCTCACCAGTCAATAGAAGGATCGGAGGTGACACCAAGTCCTAGAAATGGACCTAAAATACTTCCATTAAAATAGTGGGGAGATGTGGGTTCCCAACATACCTGCCCACCAAACCCTTCCTTGGGTCTGATTTCAGCCCAGAGCACAGAAGCCCTGCCACTGTTAAGTGTTCATTCTGAGCAGCCTAATTTGAGTTCATTGTGCTTGGGCTTCAGTCCAATTGGCAGATGTCCTTGCAGAAGCTGATCTCAGACACTTTCCCTTTCTAATTTTTTTGGCACCATTGCCTCCGTTGCATGGGATATCATCTCTGAAACTTTATCTTGGGTTCCCCAGGTTTTGCCTGTTTTGTAGCTTTGGTTTTCTCTTAAATCATTCTGCCCTGAAGAGGTTCATGTGAAATACTAAATCATTGGTAATTCCTGTGGTGCAGATATGAATTATCAAATGACTTGCTTGCAAATTTCCAACCATTCCTTGCCCTTTTCCCACCTCCCTGGAAAATGAGTAACCTCAGAAGCAAAAACATGCAAACCCAAGGTAATCACTGTGAACGTTATACAAACGCATCATTTTCTCTTACAGGTTGGACTTTATAGATTGAAATGCCAGAGCTTTGATATTTATTATCTGAAATAAGTTTAACATTTGGAGAAATGTGTTCAAACACACAACCTTGGAAAGAAAAGCAAGCTGATGGAACAGAGAACGGGGCAGGCAGAACACATGATTGGCAAATTTTGCTGGGAGTTGGGCAAAGTTAGAAAATGGGTCCTTCTGATCATAAAGAGCTCCCAAATGAGGTAAAAGTTAAATACAAATCAATTTCCAACTCTTCATGAGGGCCACTACATACAGTTTTAATTATACATGACCACAATATCGATAATGAAATCTTACGTTTTATTTAATACTTTGGCCAGACCAGCCCCTTTGAAGGGATCACTAATTTAGGAAAGAAGAACAACAAACCATCATTCACTTTCCTGCAGCTTCATCATTTTTCTAATTATTTCTATTGGTCCTGCTTTATTCTTTCTGCAAATTAAGGGGTGGGGGGAGGGTTTCTATATTAGATCAGCAATGTCTGGTTCTTATCCAAATATTCCACCTAATAAGGACTTAAGTTCTCATGGATTGGACAACCACTCTGCAACATTCCTGAGAATTGAATAATATAATAATCTTGAAAGTCAGCAGAGTGGATTATCCACTTTTTTTTTTTCTGGACTTGAACTTGTGACCTTAACAGTAGCACTGCAAAAAAGCAAATGTGCTAAGCACTTTGCCAGAGTAACCTTCCATGTAGACTTTTCATCTTAAATACACACAACTGAAAACTACAATTTTTGGAAAATTATGTACAAACCCAATACTTCTTTTGATTACATATAAATACAAATTAGCTATTTTTTTCCTAAAAAGTGGTTATAATAGTAAATAAATACAAAATAAATCTGACCATTATACTTCATGTGCTGGGGTTGAACCCATATAAAATGTACAACTAAATACATTTTAAAATCTTTAAGGAATAATTCTCTGATTAAAATATTTGTTTTCCCAACTTCTTTTCGTAGATATAAATATATTTGCAAAATAGTTGTGTTTTTTTTTTCTCCATTGCATTCCATAAATAAAGTCTTCATTGGGAAATATTAAAGTGTCAACTTGGGTTTTTTTGTTGTTTTTTTTTCTAAAATATATATATATATATATTTTATTTTTATTTTATTTTGTTGTGCTAACGACACCCGCAACCCTCCACAACCATGTCCTGATAGTTCTTTAATACAACCTTTTCATTTTCGTCAAGGTACAGCATGGAGATAGCACTCAGTTCTGTTGGGACACAGCACGCCTTAGGAATCTTAGAGTTAACTGAGTTGACCAACGTCTGCACAATGGCGTGATTAGTGGAGTTCAGGTGATCGGCCAGGGGGAAAGGGCATTCCCCGTGGCAGTAAAATGCATGATACCCTGGGGGGGCTACGATCCAGTCATTCCACCCCACGTCGCTGAAGTCCACGTACAAAGGGTGTCTCTTACAGCTGGACTTAAGGCGTTTGCGCTGTTTATGTTTCGCTTGACGCTTTTCTCTTTTGTGGAGAGGATGTCCTTTTCCATCATGGCCAAAAGTCACTAGCAATGGCCTTATCTGTGACCAGCTGTGCTCGTCTTGGTGCAAAGACCTGCTAATCCTAACGTGTCTCTTGGAGACACCTTGGTTCTCCTCTAAGTGGGCCACTTCCACCACAAATCCGTGGTTGGCGAGGCCCTGTGCAGTCCACCTCATCACAGCAGGGGTGACGTCGAAACTCTCCCACCTGCTTGCATTCTGGTTCACCAACCTGGTGTCCAAAAGTCTGGTCACGGGGAACTTCGAGTTGGCTGTTGCAGGTTTTAAAATTTCATAAATATTAATTCGGTGATGGAAACTGCTATTGTTTTCCAAATTTTCCTGCATCTGTTCCCGAAAAACCTGAAGTTCTGCTGAGGTGATAAACTCCTCGGTGGGGATAGAAGTTAAATTAAAGAAGAATCGCCGGGTTGTTTTTCCACTCATTTCTGGCAGTTCTTCCAAAGATTCTAATTTGATATGAAAAGGTGGAAAAGAAGAAAAATACTTGGGTAAGATAAGTAATGACAACCTGATTACATATGAATTTATCAACCTCATTTCGGGGTTTGATTTAACCCATGTAAAAGTCTGCAACCAGAAAATAAGAATTCCTCCTGTAGATAAAAATAGTCTCCCTTTTCTATATCTTTGTATCAATATGTATGCCATGAAACCAAATTTCATCATTGTTATGTTTTTAATCCAATGCATGAATACTGCTTCCAGGTGGCTATAATAATGGGGGAAATGGTGAAGCATTTCTTTGGAATTCACAGACTTTAGGGCAAAAAAAAGTCAGCACTATAGTTAGTAGAGGTCTAATGACTGAGGATTTGAGGAAATTATTGCATTTCGTAAAAAGAAAAAGGCTTTAATGTCAATCCCTTAAGCAGTATTCTAAAACATTGCTCTGCAATTTAGATGATTTACAAATCTCGATATACAGATTTCAGTTTCCTAATTAAAGACTCTGAAACTCAACAGCAATGATGACATTTTGCAAAGCACACCCTACTATTTTACTCAAAAATCCAGGGACAAAGGCATGTACAGGAATCTACTGCTTTGGAAACATAAGGGTGGTACTGGGACACTGTAGTAATTAAGGCCAGACAATTTCAAGAGAAATAACTTCCCAAGTGTTGTCTGTTCTCTCACCTCCTTATGACCTCAAAAATAAAAATCTCATTTTAGATGCTTTTGGAAGAAATAAATGACTCTCCTGTTTGTAATTCCTTTATCTTTTCAAAAAACAAATCAGATTAACAAACACCTACCGAAGAACAGGCTACAGGGTAGACACAAAACCAAAAACGAAATTGATAAAAATCTATAAAAATGACATTATGGTAGTTATAACGCAAGTGATAATCTCATCCTATTACAGAATAATCATTCTATATCATCATTATTTCAAAATAGTCATTTAAGTAGGCTATGCATAAAACTCTTTCTGACTTAAGATTCCTGAATTTCAATATGTTCCAAGCAAACAATAAAAAAAAACACAGCACCTTGAATGCTATAGTCTGCAAGTCAACAAAGGTACACATTATTAAATTGATACTACACGGCACTAGAATTTGAGATATTTGGGTTTATTCTCTTCTAGCTTTACCATATCCTGTCATTTCTCTGTCAAAAAAATGTATCTGTTTCATTCAGGATGAATGCAAACAAAAATCTATTTAGTCCTGGTTCCATGTCATCACTGTAAAAGGGTACCATATTTTCATTAACTTTACGGTTGTATTTCTCCGTCATCAAACAGCTATAAGTTCTTCATGGAATCTAGATGCCTTGGTAAAGCGGAACCACTTCAGATCCCTCATTCGAAGGTTCTACCTGTTGCTTCATCATTAAAGCAAGTCATCATTGCAAGCTTAGTGGAAGCACTGAGTTCAACAGGGGCAGTTTATACCAAATTATGGAGTAATTCTCTCATGTGAGGCTTCTCAAACGTTAACCTTCACACAAAACACATAGGACACCTCAAATCGTCAAATGCAGATTCTGAGTTAGTGGGTCTGGGGTGGGGCCTGTGATTCTGCATTTTCAGCAAGCTCCCAGGTGGACTGCCCTTGGAGCATAAAGCTTTTAAAGGACACTTCACGTTCAAGTATCAATTGCTAGGAACATAGTTTAAAGTGCCTTTTTGTTGAATAATATAAAAGTGAGTAGAAGCACCACTAGTGTTGGCCAAGGAATAAGAGTGGGGGCCATGAGTGGGCAGCCAGGGACTTATAATAGAAAGATCTTCTCAAGTTCCTTACTCGAACATGGAGACTATCAGGCTAACAAATGATCCCTTCCTTAGTCCCCTCATGCCTACTAATCCATATCTGTTAAGGACACCTTGCACGGAGTCAACCACTTTCTAAACCCCATTGTAAGCAAATAGTACTTCAGGCCAGGCACTATTTTTAAAATAACCCTCCCACAATGGAACCAGGGCTCGCCTCAGTGGCTCCCAACAAGCATTAAGAACTGTATTTAGCTCCTTCTTTCCTCTCCTCCTTGCAATTCAGGAGCCCTCTGATGTTTCCGCTGAAGGCATTCTTTCAGCAGAGAAGCCACCAGCTACCAGAGGAAAAAGGATACCAGAGGGAAAAGGAGTGAGGTAAAAATCAGCCACGTCCCTCAGACACAATGACCCAAAGCCAGACCTGGGCCTGAGCTACTGACGTCTCTGAAGGCCAGCACACCTAAGAACACCCTCTTTTCTTTTAAAGAGCAGGGAAAGGAAGGCAAATTATCCAGGGCATTTGCTGACCAGCTGGATTAACGAAGGTGCCCAGAGAAAACACTGCAACAAAAACGCTGAATCCAAATCCATAAATCAGAAAAAGTAGTTATTAACACACACACACACACACACACACACACACACACACACA